GTGATTAGAAAGAAGTCTGCTAGAAAGACTATCACAGCACTGAGTTGCTGTATTTACTTTTTTAGTTGTTTCATATTTATTAAATCCTTTTTAAAAAAATTTTCATATACTGGTACACTTTCCAAAGGCCCATAATGTCTGAGTTTCTGCCAAGGCTGAAATCAGGAGCCAAGAACTTATTCCATATCTCCCTCATGGATGGCAAGAACTTAGCTATTTCCCAGGGTTTACAATTGCAGGCATAGTCAGGAGCCAGAAGCAGATATCAAACACAGGCATTCCAGTAGGAGATACGGCATCTGAGCTATCAGACCAAATGGCTACCCGGGACATTGGTATAAATATCTTATCAGGGAAGAAATATTTATTTGATCCTGTGAACTTATTAAATGGATCCTAGAAGAGATTATTCTTTTAGATGCTTATGAAGATTACAACTGAATCATATAATGTATACCTCTATATCCTTACTAGTTATTGAGCCTGATTTAAGTTATTCAAGCGGTGTGTTATTGGTTTTGGTGGTGGTGATGTTGGGATATATTACGATAGAATCTGGAAGGGCAAAATACAAGAATTTGGAGTAACACAAACAGTACTGTATTGTCTACAAAACATCATGAACAATTTATGATCTGTTCTTTTAAAATAAAAACAGGGGAGCTCATATGGTGGTGCAAGCAGATTAAGCTGCCACATGCAAGCCAGCATCCCATTTGCAAGGGCCTGATTAATTTCGTGCTGCTCTGCTTCTGATTTAGCTCCATGCTAATATGCCTGGACAGACTTCAAAAGCTGCCCATGTACTTGAACCCCTACCACCCACATGGGAGACTAAGATAGAATCCCTGCCTCCTGGCTTTGGCCTTGTCCTGCCTTTGCTGTTATGCCCATTTGGGAAGTGAACTAGTGGATGGAAAATACCTCTTTCTGTTATTCTATCTTTCAGATGAGCAGATGTATATAACAGATGTAAACAGCAAGTGAATGCTATTCTTAGGTTGAAAAGCAGAAATATGCTCTTTTAGTAGGATCGCACTGTAAGAGCACTATATGTAGGAATGTGTACAAAATCCTTGGACACAGCATTCATGGAAAGAAGTGTGACGAAGGCCGTTCCAAAAGCAACGGATGATCCTCATTATGTCTATCAAAGGTGTTTGGCTTTTGTTCACTTTGTTGTAGGCTGTAGTGAACTGGTCATATACTTTGGATTAGCACTCAGCGACCATATTCCTTTCTTTAACAGAGGTGAAAATAATTGGAAATTCCTTAGGAAATCCCAGGAGTAAAGAGAGTAAAACAAGAATTAGGATCAGAGGAGAGACAATTATAATGCAGTTAATGATATGAGGGGAGAGCATGGGAAATCAAATGAAGATTTTAAAAAGTTGTTTGCAATTGATTTATCGGTATTATCTTCATGCTCTTTTGTGATTTTTCAAATGAAATTTCTGACCCCCCTGATCAATTTAACATGAGTAAGTATTTTAGGGCATTTTGAGAAATAATGAGTTTCATGGTCAAATTGTCAGCCAAAATGCTTAGGTTCAAAAGTTGTAAGAGAATACTTAATGGCATGTCTCATTTGGGGCATTTTTCTTGAACATTTGGGCAAGATGAAGTACATAGCTGTCAGCTAACTGGACTTCCTATTTCATAGATTTGGGGATGAGAAGCATCACAACTATAGCCTCTTCCTGAAACGTGTGGGAATAGAGAACGGTACTACATGAAACCATTTTCTTTAGGAATACAATATCAAAATCATGGCTCCTGCAGTACTACCATTATTATTATAAAAATCAACTAAGAAAAGTACAATAATCTGAGCAAATGGAGACTCCAGTGTGAACTATGTCAGCCAGTGGATTCTGAAGAGATTCCATTGTGCTTGGAATGGCGAGATTGGCAGCAATTCAGAAGTGTTGAACTGTCAAAACCACTTGAACAGTGCCCGCAGAGCATGCGCCACGTCAGGGACCCTGAAATGGGTGGGAGGCCGAGTGGGGCTTTTCCCTTCCCCCCCCCTTACCTCAGATGCAGAAAAGAGAGACAGACAGACAGACAGACAATCAATGAATGAATTTGGAAACAGTGATCTTGCCCAGCTTCCTTATAACTCTTGATCCTCTGTGGCCTAATCAACTATGTAAAGATTATCAAAATAAAATAATAATTAAAAAAGAAAAATACAATAAAAGGCAAACAGTTTCTCTTTTAGGTATGGTTTTTGTTAAAATACATTTATACTTTTTAAGAATTTTTTTTCCAATTTGTGAAAGTTTTCAATTCTTTTTGAAAAATTGAAAAATTGCCAGTTTTAATTTTAGTCTTTTTATTTTGAATTTTAGGGTTTACTTCCATAGGGTCTGGGGACAATTACTTTTATGAGAAAGTTTTGTAGAAAATAAAGCATGCATTATAATCCCTACGACAATATCCCTTATATATTTCTTTAACAATTACACACACCAATGTGCTGCACCAGATTCTATTTAATGCCATTCTTTTCTCTATGAAATGTTGAATAAAAGTTGATATGATTTATTCACATTTTACTTTGTAGGGCATAATACAGGGTAGTATAATCATGTTAGCTGGCCTTGATAAAGACTGGCAAAAATAGCTTATCAACCAGTATTCATCCTTACATTTTCTTAGGACACATGAAGTCCTAAATTTTATATAAGCCCCTGGCCACTCAATCTGAGACCATATTCACAGGTTTCATTGCATCCAAGGCCTTTATGTCAGTATTTACTTACCAGATGTGTTAAAGGAACTATAATATGCAATGTCTGAAATGCATCCTTGAAAAGAAGAATTTGCCTTTATTTTCTTTCTCCTTCCCATTTAGTAGAAATCAGTAATGATGATGGGAAGCTAACTCCATCAAGATGGATGTGAGCCACATTCTAGTGGTCACTTGAATGATGAAAGGATGAGGCAGGAGCTGTAGGTAAAGGTCTAAGAAGATAAACCAGGCCCTGTCACTTGCTACAACCTGGTTGTTTACTGGTTATAACATATATACAATAATCTACAGCTCAACAATGTTCACGAATAGGGTGATTCAATGGAAATATGTGAGTCATGCAAGTAATTGAAAATGTTTTAGTAAATGCTTTCAAAATAAAAATAGGGACAAGCATTTGATGTATCAGTTAAGAACATCTTTAAGTCATATTTCTCCCAAGAATGCCTGGTTCAAGTCCCAGCTCTGCTTCGATCCTGCTTCCCACTGATGAGCACACCTTTAGTTAAGGTTCTCATCATGAGAGCACAACGACTTATATAGAAGGATGAGGGAATAACAGAAGGAAATCCACGTTTAAAAGGCATGTGGCATTCATGATTATTAATCTGTTGAACTTAACATTCTAGATATCTATGCAGGCTAAAGTTTGCAATTCTTACTTGAGTGGCATGCCTCATGTAAACGTACTTTGTAAACTCTGGCTAGCAAGTGAACCAATAAATAGCTCAGGAAGAAATGAGAAACAGTCACTAGCAAGAAATCTGTTACTACTCCAGCACTTACTATCAAACCAGATTGGCCCCAAAGGCAACAAGCAGCTTGCAACCTAGCAGGACCCAAAAAGAAAAGAAATGTTGCTATAACTCTTGAGTGCATTTTAATTTGGTCGAGTGCTGCTGCTTCTTCCCAACCTGAGAATCAGGCACTAAAAAACTAAGCAAGGCCCTTAAAGTACTGTTTTGATGTAGGAAGTGAAGTGCAAAGTGTATTCCCAGGCTAATATTAAAGTGATCCAAATGGTTCAAGGTGTCTGTAGAAGAAATCAGAATGCCTTTGCATGTTTCTCATGTTTCCTTCATGTTTTAAAGCACTTTACTATTCAGGGAAACGTTCAGATTAGCGTGGTTATACAGTTGACTTATCTGAAGTCAATAGCAAACAATTTCATTTATCCAGGTTAAGTCTTTTGTCACTTTTTCATTTAATCTTCATGTAGAACCATAAATTACTTCTTCATTTTGATGGTTTGACATACAGTGAAACAACTGCTTGTTTTATTAACAGCTGCTGAGGACAAGAACATAAACACAGTATAATTTAAGCTAGCGTTGTAATAAGAGTTTGCTTCCTTGAAATTCTAACGTATGCAAATACACTTTCAAAAATTACCTTGACTTTAATTTGTCTTTTAGCTTCAGTGTCTTAATGCAAAATATGTGAATATTTGCAATGGTTCTGTGGTTGTAGATGGTGTATAAAATAATTGCTACACAGGAACAAAAATAAGTTTCATTGGACTGCATTTTTTCACAGCTGCGCTGAATTAATCTGACTCACATAATAGCTTGAGCATGATACTATGAAAAGTCTATGTAATAGAAATGTATTGTCAGTTAAGCAGGAGCTATGTATCTTAAAAAGAATTGAAGCCAGCATAAAACTTGACTTCCATCTCTTTAACATACCCATCATGAACAGAAGAAGGCAAAACTTTGTAGAACTGCTATGAATATAGAGCTTGATGATAATTTAGAATCATGGAAACATAGGTTGGGAGATAAACCTTTTGCCTTCTTAGCTATCCTTTTATCATAAGCAAGTAATCCTTCCACAGCTGAATGTAGCTCTAAGTTCTGATTTTTTTCTTAAGCAATGTAGTAATACTCATTTATCTCAGAATATACACATCAGATATAAAACATTTTTTTCTCCAGAATGTACTTTGGTACACTAAAGAGTTGATAGCATTTCTGTGACTTTTTAGGAGTTAGGACTTTTCATTTAGCTGATTAAAATCTGTTGTAGATGATAATTATGGTAGTTTTTTTGCAATCATTCAAATTTTCAAAAATGACTTTGAAACCCTTAAATGGCTTGTAGCAAATTTTTATTTCTCCAAGGGTTTCTCTCCATTTGCGGAAAATTTGCTATGATTACACCCTTCTGTCATATACACAGTAAATGTCAAGTCAATGCAAAAGGAATAGATTTGTATCTCTAAAAATAACCTCTCTTGCAGGAAGAAGAATTAAGGAAGAGTGGGGAAGCCAAATATGCCCACTTGAGTGATGAACTTCATGTATTAATTGAAGTGTTTGCGCCACCTGGGGAAGCTTACTCACGTATGAGTCATGCATTGGAAGAGATTAAAAAATTCCTCGTTCCTGTAAGTATTTTTCATTTTTTTTTAACAAAGATGGTTCTAAGTTTCTGCTTTAAATGTGTCTTTGATATTCAGACTTCTTATAGAAGGAAAGCTTTTGCGTAGTGATTACATAATGTGATTTCCACAGTGTTAATGTAAACAAAGTGGGAACGAGAAATAACATATGATCTTTCCATACATCACATAGTGATGGTCTCACAGAAGTACTGTATTCCTCTTGAGGACACTGCTCACCATCTCTGTTGGAGTTCATGGGTGTGAAGTATAAAGTAAGTGCATAAGCATAAATGTATAATGGAAGTTGTACTAATTTCTTATGTGCTCATCACCTGACATGTACAATTATAGTTAACAGAGAATGTATAGTGGGGATGGAGAGGTTAAATATGTAATACTTATGATCAACTAATGTATGTTTCTGTGATGGTATTCTGGCTGATTTTAAAACATAATACCAAATAATTTAGACAGTTGTGGGTTTCAAGTAAACATTGGGGGAAAAAAAAAACCTACTGCACTCAGAGCAAACAAGACTATTCATTCAGAAAGGCAGTCAACTCAGGATTTCCAATTGAGTAGAATTTTTCTACTGACCTCGTAAGAAATAGAGGAAGCTTTGAGTGAATCAAGCTTTACTGAAGGTTGACAATTTAATGCTAGGAAAAGGCTGTTGGAATATAAATCTTGCCAGGTTTAGTGTGTGGAGTAAGATGATGACAAGACATGGTTGAGTGACGTTTTCTGAAGTTTGTGAACAGAAGTCTTCAGCAGAGACAGAATAATTTACAAAGTGAACATGTAGATCTCCACACTAAACCATAAAGTCAGAGGAAACAATGGGCAACATTCATTGATTTGCATTGATTTTTGAGAATGAGGAAAGAAAAAATCCAAACTGCAGAGGTTTCAACATCTAACCACAATCTGTTCACATGTCTACTTTAAAAATAATTTCTGCCAGGACAAATGATATAGAATAATCTCCTACCTTCCTGTGTACTTCTTAATTTCATATAGACATGTACTTTTTTTTTAGTTTATTACCTGGTGCTCAATATGAAAACCTCCCTAAGTGGTCTCATATTTCTTAAGAGTGACGATGCTCTATTCTCTCTTCCTTTTGCCTCCCAGCTTAATATCTAATGCTATGTTGAGTCAATAATATTGCTTTATTTAGCTCAGACAATACCCCTATTGATACATATAGTATAGAGTGGTTACGATTGCCTACATTGCTAATTCATTTCATGATTATACATAATTCATTTAAATTATTAGAGCTTCAGCTTAATCTTTAAAATGACGATAATTATAATTGACTGACCTCTATCACAGCTACTGTTAATATTTAATGGAACAGTGTGTATGGAAGGGCTTGGACAATTATACAGCACTATATAAAAGGATGTATTAATCTATATGATTAATACATAGTGCCTAGAAAGATCTAATACTGGCTTTTTGAGGCAAATGTATGAGAAATTAGTATTTTGTTGGTACACAAATATCCCTTAAGTGAAGGGTGTATCATACTTGCTATGTTGTGAACATTCTCTATACTTTAATCATTTCATATAGGTCATTTCCACTGAAATATATTTTCACATCAGGGCTGGACCGACAGTGACTCTTAGTTGATACTGCATCCAGTCATTTATCATCGTACTTGGCATGATAGCATGATAGATTGTTTTCAGTAATCTGGTTGGTAGAGAGTTCAACTAAATGGCATCAAGGGATAAAGTAACCATCAGGGGCACATTGTTGTGACCTGTGAATATGATGGCCCACAAGTAAATTCCCACATGTAGAATGAAAATCTTACTTTGCCACGTGTAGCTTGTCTCTCCCCATGTGTGTACTTTCTGCACACCCCACTGCTCAATTCTTGTTCTTTGGATTTGCTGAACTATGTTCATCCAACATTACAGGTTCATTGTTCACTAAAGAGCTTGAAATTAACCTGAAAATTGCTGATTAGGTTGTCTCCTTGTCATTTCAATATCCGCTCAAATGTTACCTTTATAGGTAAACATTCCTCAATTATACCATCTATCATAAAACTGCTCCATTTTTTTTAAATTCCATTGACCATTCTTAGCAATTCATTTTCCCATTATACCTTAGTCCTCTTTACTTACTTTCTTTATAGATCTTACTGATTTCTATTATGCCATAAACATTTCACTTAATTATTGTTAGTTTCCCTGCCAAAGTGTTGATGTCATGAGAGCGACTGTGGTATCTCCTTCAAGGTTGCATTAGTAAAGTGTGCCATCAGTGTTCCTTGTCTGCTGTGCTTGCCTTAGCCTTAACAAACAGGGTGTTGTCATTCTAACCATCACAAAACCCATAAGGAACAAATGTCAATTGCCAATATTTTAATCTTATGGAATCAGTTGGTGACTTAGCTGTGTGTGTGTGTGTGTGTGTGTGTGTGTGTGTGTGTGTGTGTGTGTGTGAGACATTTGGTGTTAAAGTCCACAGACATATTAAAGCAACTGGACATGAATATTTAGAATTTTTGACAAACAATGGCTAGTGAGGGGAATACCGGAACAATAAAGATGGGTTAACAAAGTACAGGAGCCTGAAATTCTGCTGACATTGTGTTCTGTAACAAAACAGAATATCCTTTCATGGTTATAAATTCACTTTCTTTTTCTTCATGTATGTTACCTAAAATTTGCCCAACTTACCCTTTGCCCAAATGTTGTAATTATTGAAGATTCCAGCTTTGAAATATACAACTCCTCGTGGAATATCTCACTGTTTATGAATGTTGAGAAACATCCTTTTAAAATTGCAGCACATTAAATTGATTATTAGTGGGAAAAGATTTATTATTGCACTGGTAGGGACATTTATATCAGAACTTTATCAATGGGAACCCCTAGTGCTCTGTTCCCTTAGTCCCCTGCAAGGAATTTCAATTTTTAAAACCCTAGCCAATAGGCTACTTCAAAATAATGTTTCATTTTCCTAAATTTTCTGATTGTTGCCTTCAGTTAACGTGGATTAGCAAGTTTAGTTTAATGATTAAAATATAATTCATTGTTTTATCAGAAATTAAGAGACAAGCCACAAGATTTTTCTTAATGTTTGTATATGCTTTCATAAATAACAATGAAAGGAGTTATTTTTACCCAGATAGGAAATTAGATTTAAGTCTCCAATAACAAATTACTTCTTTATCTGCCTCAGTGTTATTGACATAGTTATGAGATCACAATATCCCTTTCTTCTGAGCCCTGCCATGATCTCAGAATCTCCCAAACACTTTGTGCTACATGTTGCTATAATGCTATAATAATGCTGTGTTATAGATGGTTTGACAGAACTGGAAATTATTTGGCATGCTTTGCTTAAGTCCCTTAATGATCATTAGTGAAGATTTGTTTTTTTACTTAAAGATATTTTACTTGTATGAATCAAATATGCCTATGTAAATTTGTGTGTACATGTGTATAAAACATGAAAAGGTTAAGTAACATAGAAAAAAACATGAGTAATTCCAGGGTATCTCTTTACAACACTAGAATGGTTTTGTTGTGTTGTCTTAGTGATGGTTTTGATTCATGATGTAGGGAGATAAATCTATCTTATTTCAAGTTTGATATATTTTAAGCCCATACAGAATTGCCAAAATTTTGATAAAAGATAAGTAATTTTTTTCCTTTTGATAAAAGCAAATGTAGGACACTCTTGCTTTGTCTTCTTCAAAGTCTATAATCTTAGCTCTGAGATTGGAAAATCATATTGATTACTAAAAACACTCTCACAGGAAAACAGATGAGAGGACAAGAGAAAAAGTAGTTATTTTTAGTCTAAAAGATGGACAGAAGTCCAGGGTGAAAAGAGAATCAGAACCCATAGCTTCTATGCTAATCCTTTAATGTTATGGATATTTAGTGTGTCAAGTTTTTCTACTGCCATCTTCAAAACCAATTAATTCACTTTTCTTGTACTTAACCTTATTCTGATGGTGTGTTAGCTAATAGAAATGGCACAAAGTCATATCTCTTGCATTGAGTTAGTACTATGAACATTATATGGTTTTGTTTGAAGAAATATATTATTATCTAATCCTGAATATATCTGATAGGCTCTAATAAATATGATTTGTTTATGACTTAGCGTTAAAAGCTTGGATTCTAATTGATGTAAGATGAAAGACAAAAAAAAAAAGTGTAACTACTTTTGTGTGATTTTCCAAACTTTTTTTATTGCATTTCATGCATTTCATTTTATAACATTGTTTCATAGTCTCTGATGTTCCCCAATCTCCTCCCCATGCCCTCCCCCCCGTGGTGGATTGCTCCACCTTATTGCAGTATTACAGTTCAAATCCAGTCTTGTTTCTTTCATTGCAAGCATGTGTCATGCATGGAGTCCAGCATCTTATTGTTCAGATCAATTCAACAGTTTCTTGGGGAGACCAATTCTCGTCCAAAGGCATAGCTGGCAGAATATCATTTCGATCAATTAAAAGCCATAACGTAACATCAACAGTTTTCAACATTGTGGGGTTAATTGACATTGTGTTGAGTGACTGATATATTAGAAAATGCAGGTTCTTAACCACATCCTGTGACTACTTCATTAACATTTCAATTTTAGTTTGTATACAACTGGCTTTGATCTACCTTAAAATGGCTATAGGATATTATTCAGCTGTTTCGTGTCTATTTTCATTTTAGTATTTAGCAGTTTATTGTGTTGAAGCATAATTTTTACTGAACTTGGCAGATTTCAGGATAGTCTAAACTGGCTTATAGCTTTAACAAGGCATATGACACCAGTTGAGGCACATAACACTGTTGGGAGGGTTGTGCAGAGAAATCCTCCATTCCCTAGTTAGGAGTAATTTATTTTTGTGTCCTACCTAGTAAGGTATGTGTAAGTCCCCACTGATCTTTTTCTGTCTAGTTCTAAGCTTTCCTTGTTCTCTATTTTAATTTTTTGTTGATGTTTGTTTTTGTTTGAGGGGGGCTCTGGGA